GCATCAGGGACTCCCTCGTAACACAGATAGTGACCAGAGGTAGGCAATTAACCGAAGTTGTTTTATGGGCTCTTCTTTGGGTACCAGGGACCCTCTTCCACATTCTAGACCCTGGAATAAAAACGCAGTTTCAAGGCTTTCTTTCCCAGACAGTGGAAATGCTACATAGAATTTCAAAAACTTCCCTTCTTTCTTGTTAACATAGTGTTTCTTGTGATATTGGAACACCTGGCAACACTATCAGACCAGGCTCAGGACTGTTCAGTTCACGTATGAGACCTGTCTCCTTCTTCCTCCCTGCCTCGGTTTACTATTTATTCTACCTAATTGGTAAAAGGCATTTCCTGGCAACCAGGGTGCTAAATGCTGACCAGTAACATTATTGCAGTCTCAGAGTTCTTCCTATGTTGTCTCCTTCCTCACTGTGGCTCAGTGGATTGAGTACTGGACAGCAAACCAAAGAGTTGCTGGTTCAATTCCCGGTCCAATTCCCTGTCGGGGCACATACCTGCATTGCAGGCCAGGTCCCCATTGGGGGGCTCACCAGAGGCAACCACACATTGATGTTTTTCTTTCTTTCTCCTTCCCTTCCCCTCTCTCCAAAAATAAATTAAAATATTTAAAAAAATAAAAGGTAAAAAAATCAGCCCTGGCTGACTCACTTAGTTGGAGCATCGTCCTGTAACCAGAAGGTTGCAGGTTTGATCCCCGGTCCGAGCGTGTACAGGAGGTAACCAATTGATGCTTCTCTCATGCATCCACATTTCTCTTTTCATTTCTGTCTCCCTTCCTCTCTAAAAGCAATGAAAACATGTCCTTGGCTGAGGACAAAAAATAAAAATAATAAAAATAAATCACCATACCCACCCCACCCCAGTCTTCTCCAGGAGGTGACTGGCTGTTTCCAAATTGTCCCCAAGCCCTTGAAAAGCATGACGACGTAGCCACTTCACTAAAGGATTGCTGAAGTAACCTCATGCACGAAAGCTAACACAAATGTGTATTTGACAAGGCAGATTCATGGGGTGAACCTGCCAGGGTGAAAGGTAAGTGCATTTGAAATGCCTCGGATATTTTTTTCTAAAACTCCCCAAAAGAAAAATAGTATCTTATTCTTTGGTGCATTTCTTTGATTACTGAGGTGGAGAACTGCATCACTTGATTATTTGCCAATGTCTGGGAATTTCCTTCTTGTTTTCCTTATGGGTTGTTTGTTCTTTGATGGTTTGGATATATTTGCTCCACAATAGTTACTCTCTGTTACAGATTCTGCAAGCCTTTTTTCCAGTCTTGTATGTTTTGATGTTCTATATAATCAAAAGCTTTCCAAGTTCTCTCACAATTCCCAGGAGTGGCCCTGGAATGAACATGAGGGCACGGAAGAGGGAAGTGAAGCTGGGAGAGCTGGGCCGATGGGGAAGGGGGACCCCACTGCCTGGAGGAGTGACTAGCTGTAGTAATGGTGGTGTCCCCACAAGGAGTCTGTGGGTGCCCAGACATAAGGACAGGACTCTGGCTCTGGCCTCCTTACTCCAACTTCCCTGGACCATGCTGCTACCTGATCAGACAGTCCCACGGCCCGTGAACCTGGAGGAGCAGGCCTGGTGTCCAGGGACTTGGGGGGGCTGTCTCTGAGCTGCCTCAGAGCGGCTCACAGGGGAGTGGGGAACCCCACTGTTCCCCAATAACCCCTGTGCATTAAGCATAATCATAACACACACCGGAATCCATGAGAGATGAAAGGAGACCACCGTGATCCTGGCACACAGAGGTTCTCATTACATTCCTTCCCAGGCCACCCTCACAGGACTCAGTCAGGTGCAGGGATGTACAGGGCTGGACTGGAGCAAGCAGAGGTCCAAATCCCACTGCACCCTCACCAGCCCCACCTCGGTGTCTACATTTGTCACCTTCATTGGGCTGTTACAGAAATCAGAGCTCCTGCCACTCCCTGGCCAGTCCAGCCTGGTGCTGGCAGCCCGCGGGGCTCCAAGGTAGGCTTTGGGCCCGAGGTTCCCCACCAGGAACAGGACTGAGAGCAGATGGTCTCTAAAGTGTAGCCTTAGCATGAAGCCCTCACACGGTCTCCTGGACAAAGATGTGCCCAGGGCCAACCCTCTCTCAACACAGGGAACATTCTCAAACACCTCACATCTCTAGGTCCTCATTTTTAATTTAAATAACTCTTTTCTAATCTACCGTTTTGAACGTAAGTAGATGCTCTGAATCTGAAACTCCTGACCCTTCCTCCCAGCCTGGGTCCCCTAGACAGGGCCAGGCCTTATCAGTCCTGCCACTCAGTCTGGACCTGACAGAGCCCCCGCCATCTCTCAGAGGGCCAGGTGGGTCTCGAAGACCCTATCTTGGAGCCACTTCCCTACCTCCACCTTCTCTGGGGCAATGTTCCTACCCAGGAAGAATTACTCACCACCAACGACTACAATAATCCCAAATTCACAGTGCCATGATCCTTCCTAACAGTGAGGTGGAGGCCGTTCTAACCCCGCCTGAGATTCAAACAGTGAAACTAAGGCTCAGAACATTATTGGCCTGCCCAGGGTCACCCAGGGGTTGCTCTCAGGGGAGGGTCTGCAAATCCTTGTCTCCACTGAGTGATCAGGGCCCCTCTGAGCTCAGTTCTAGCTACACAAGCTCAGAACAAGCCCGGGGCTTTGCATTCTGCCCAGAGACCAGTAGGTCTCAGCGTCCCGGAGCAGAAGCGTGGGCTCATATCACAGGACACCAAGGCCTGGAGACAGAATAGACTTGCCCAACTCCCAAAGGGTCCACCCCAGACCTAGGTCTCCTCTCTTGCTGGGACTGGTTCCCTCCCTCCACTGCTGAAACTTTGGCATATTTCATAACTTTCCCAAGCCTCCATTTCCTTATCTTAAAACATTAACGATGATCCTATAAAACTTCTCTCTCGGAGAGCTGTGAGGACCGCGTACCCAACAGAGGAGGGTCTGGCACTGCGCAGGGCTGAGAAGGCCGTAGATGAACGCCAGCTAAAACCAGACGGCAGACCTCACCTGCAACCACGAGAAACCCGTGCAAGGTGGGCTGTCACCCAACTCAAAACGCAGCCAAGTTCTTGGAACGGCAACACCTCAGTCTTTGGCCCAATGCTTATTTCACTTGTTTTTTAAAAAATGAGGTAAAATTTGCCTAACACAAAATTCAGCATTTTAAAGGAAATCATTCCGTAACCCTTTGTGTACTCGTGGTGGGTGCAGCCGCCATCGCTGCCTAATTCTAGAACATTTTCATCATCCCAAAGGAAACCCGGCACCGACCTGCAGTCGCCGCCCATCCCCCCCGAGCCCCCGCACCCTCTGACCACTTCCTGCCTCCGTGCATTTGCCTGTTCTGGACATTGCACACAAACGAGATCATAGAAAGACATGGTGATCGTGTCTGACTTCACTCACTCAGTATAATGTTTTCAAGTGTCACCCACGTTGTAGCATGTGTCGCAGCTTCATATTTATGGCTGAACAATACCTTCTTTTTTTTTAAAGATTTTATTTATTTATCTTTAGAGGGGAAGGAAAGGAGAGAGGGGGAGAGACATCAATGTGTGGTTGCTTCTCGTGTGTCCCCTGCTGGGAACTGGCCTGTAACCCAGGCATGTGCCCTGATTGGGAATCGGACCTTGACCCTCTGGTTCGCAGGCCTGCGCTCAATCCACTGAGCTACACCAGCCAGGGCTGAACAATACCTTCTCGTATTCATGTACACCATAATTTATTTATCTGTGCATGCATTGATGGGCATTTGGGTGGTTTCTACCTTTTAGCTATTATGACTAGAACAGTACAACATTCTTTTTTTGGTTTGAAGGCCCGTGCTCAATCCACTGAGCTACACCAGCCAGAGCTTAGTACAACATTCTTAAACAGGACCAAAAAATCACTGACTCTGACTGCATTAAAATTATAAACTTCTGCCCTGGCTGGTGTAGCTCAGTAGATTGAGCATGGGTCTGTGAAGCAAAGGATCTCGGTTCCATTCCCAGTCAGGTCACATGCCTGGGTTGCAGGCCAGTTCCCAGTGGGGGACACATGAGAGGCAACAACACATTGATATTTCTCTCCCTCTCTCCTTCTCTTCTCCTCTCTCTGAAAGTAAATAAATAAATAAATATGAACTCCTGTTCAACCAAAAGCAGCATTCAGAGAGCAGAGGCCAACTACAGACTTGGGGACAGACGGCACATCAAACTGAGGAAAAACTTATGCCCGAGAGGGAGGCGGGCAGGCTTTTCCAGGGGAGTGATGGAGCCAGCGAGTGTCCTGATTCTGGTGGGGGTTACATGACTCTACATGTCAAAATTCACAGAGCAGCACACTAAAAATTCAACTGTATGTTCAAGTAAAATTAAGAGGAATATTTTCCTCATTGTTAAAGCGATGATATGGTGAGCAATCCCTAACAGCAGATCATATTAGCAGAATTCTCTTTTATGACCTCGCTTTTCAAGGGACAGACCCAGTCAGTACACCTTTCCTTGGTGCCAGGTGGGCAAAACCATTGCTTGCTCAGAAGAAACCCAGAAGTCACAGAGCCAAGGGGGAGGGGACCGACACGTGGCCAGAGTGGGCTGGCCACAGGATCCTACCAGGGAGCTATGCAGGCAGCACAGGGCACGTTCCACCCCCACTAGGGTGTGTTCTGGGCCCTGCTTCTCTGGTTTCCCTCCTTTCCTGAGTCTGAACTGGACAAGACGATGCAGAACTGGGCTGCAAATGCAGGCGTGACCTCCTGTGCTGGCTGGGCCCCTATCTCAGCTGGACCCTGGTCAGGCTGTGGCTAACGCCCCCTCCAAGACTCAGCAAGAGTGGTAGGAGTGATAACCCCTCACCCACCTGTCCCACCAGACTCTGACTGCCCATGGTCAGGGGATCTGATAAGAGACCCCACCCCCACGCCTGGCCCCCACCCTGACTCTGTGTATATAAGTGGACCCTGGGGGCTGAGCACCACAGGGGTCAGTCCTGAACATGCCCAGCCCCGGTTCAGCTACAGCCATGTCTCTGACCAAGGCCGAGAGGACCATCATCATGTCCATGTGGGGCAAGATCTCTGCCCAGGCAGATGTTGTGGGCACCGAGGCCCTGGAGAGGTGAGTGCCAGACAGGCTGGGATGGAGCTGGACAGGTGACAATGTAGGGTTACTGAGGGCAGGGGACAGGATAGAGGGAACAGTGAGGAGGGGAAAGAGGGGAGGGATCGGATGAGTTTGAATAGTGGTGGAGAGGCGCTGTCGGCGCCAGTGAGCAGGTGGCTGGGGAGGAGAGAATAGGCCTGGGCCTCTCACGGGAAACCCAGCTCTCAGGGGCCTGTGAACATCTGTTGAATGAAAAAATGAATGAATGAACGAACGAATGACCGAAAGACCGGGCAGGGAGGGTGAGACAGTGCCCTATACTGGATCTGATTCCGATTCTGTCTTTATTTAACATTTTAATGCTTAGTTCAAAGTGATTTTTTTTGCATTAATAATTATGTCTTAAAATGTTGCGTTAAAATATAATTTATTCTGACCGCTGGATTTGCCGGGACCGCTTAAATTTGCGCCCAGGGCAAGGGCAGTGCCGGCCTCACCGGGGTCCGACTCCCCCCCCCCCACCCCGCAGGCTCTTCGCCAGCTTCCCCCAGACCAAGACCTACTTCCCGCACTTCGACTTGCACACCGGCTCAGCGCATCTGCACGCGCACGGCTCCAAGGTGGTGGCCGCCGTGGGCGACGCGGTCAAGAACATCGACAACATCGCCGGCGCCCTGTCCAAGCTGAGCGAGCTGCACGCCTACATTCTGCGCGTGGACCCGGTCAACTTCAAGGTGGGCGCGGGGCCGCGGGGCCGCGGGGCCCGGCGGGGTAGGGCAGAGACGGGGCCGCAGTGCGACCAGGGCAGAGTGTCGGCGACAAGGGCGCCGTCCCCACCCGAAGAGCGCCCAGCCCCACTCCGGCCCCGCCCTGAGCAGCCCTCCCGCCCCCCAGCTCCTGTCCCACTGTCTGCTGGTCACGGTGGCCTCGCACTTCCCCGCGGACTTCACGGCCGACGCCCACGCCGCTTGGGACAAGTTCCTGTCCGTCGTGTCCAGCGTCCTGACCGAGAAGTACCGCTGAGCGCCGTCCAGGGACCGCAGAGGACAGGCCGCGACCCCTCCCCAAGCCCCCTCCTACCCGGTGTCGCGCCAATAAAGAAATTAGTGTACACCGAGCCTGCGTGGTCACTGGGGCCCCTGAGGGGAGAAGGAGCGCAGGGTGGGCTGAGGGTCGCCGGGAGGGCTGCGGGGGTCCTTTGCGCCGACCCGGCGTCTCTCAGGTCGCAGAGGGCGGCGCCCCAGGCGCGAGGGGCGCTGCAGGCGCGAGCGCGCGGCGGAAAAGGAGCCCCGGGCTCTGCTTCTGGGGCGGTAGGTAGGGGGGCCCCGACCCCCGCCCGCCCCCCGCCCCGCGCGTCCTGCTCTCCCCCGACCACCGCGTTACTCTCTCTTCTCACTGCTGAGTTTTTACTGTTTCCTGGGTTTTGCAGCAGGAAGAAGGGAGTCCAGAAGGCACTCACTCACTCACTCACCCCTTCATTCGCAGCCCGTGGCTGCTCCCATGAAACAAGCACTTCCTGGCCCAGAAGAAATTGCTCGCCTTTCTAGGCCAGCAATTTCCAGCCCCTGCGCCACAAGACAGGGGCACTGACCTCTTTTCCTCAGACTGTCCCACAAAGAAGTGAAGACAAACAGCGTTATAATAGCTGTCCGCTGTGAACGAATCAAAATTACACCTTTTTTGTCAGAGAACCAAAAAAAAGTCATCTATTTTTGGGGGTGTCGCAGAATTTTAGTAATCAGTTGATGTGTGCCATGAGATTAAAAAAAAAAAGTTGAAAACTGCTGTTCCAGAGGATGAGTACAGCAGCTAAGATCAACGAAACTCCCTGCCCCATGGAGCGGACACTAGTTGGGTACCGACGTGGTGTGTAGTCAGGTCACAGTTCACAGCAGTAAAAAAGGAAAAGAAACTCACTCTGGCTCTGCACGAGAAGGAAAATGCAAATGAACACTACACTAAAAATTAAAATCCAGCTCTCACATACCTGATGAGCAAAAATTCAATTCTGACCTCACTCTGCTGAAACCCCTGCTGCCTGACGGGTGGGAGAAGGACATGGATGCACAAAGCCGCCAGAGCAGCTTAATTTTCTGAGGACTAGAAAACCCAGAGTCCATCATGAGGCACTGACTGAATAAACCATGAACATCCACGTAACAGAGTCTGTGAACTGGAAAAGAACGGGAACAATTTCTAATAACAGCTGTGAAGTGATGGCTGGGATTTGTTAAGTAAAAAAGAAAAGGAAAAAGAAAGAAGTAGAATGGTGTATATATAGCATAGTAGTTATTCTGTAAGGAAGAAGGGGAAATAGCCCTGATTGGTGAGGCTCAGCAGGTTGGGTGTGATCCTACAAACCAAAAGGTCACCAGTTCAATTCTTGGTGAGGGCACTTGTCTGGTTGCTGGCCAGGTCCCCAATTGGGGGCCTGAGAAAGATGTTTCTTTCTCTTTCTCTCTCCCTTCTCTTCTCTATAAAAATATATAAGTAAATCAATAAAATCTTTAAAAAAGAGGAACTAGAAATATGCATGTGTACACACGTGAGTGTGCATTGTATGTGGACATTTGTACACATGTGTGTGTCTTCACAGTCTTATGTGTGCGCTCATGAATGTAACGTGTGTGTTTGCTGGTTTTTGAGAAAACTATGGAAGGATAAACTAGAAATGAATAGTTTTGATCTTTCAATTATGTAAATATTTTACACCATCACAAAAAGGCATTTCTCTCCCTCTCTCCTTCCCTTCCCCTCTAAAGATAAATAAATAAAATCTTTAAAAAAAATGTAATTACAAAGAACAAAAACTGAGAACAGCAAAACTGAAAACCAACTTAAATAAACCTGCATAACCCTAACTGGTGCTGCTCAGTGGCTTGGGCGCAGCCCCACAGAGCGAAGGGCCACTGGTTGGGTTCTCAGTTGGTTGGGGCACACGCCCGGGTTGTGGGTTTGGCCCCTGGACCAGACACGCATCAGAGAGGCAACTGATCAATGTTTCTCTCACACATCAATGTTTCTCTCCTCTTTCTCCATCCCTTCCCCTCTCTCTCAAAGTAAATAAATAAAATATTTTTAAATGAACCTGTGTAAGAATACAATAATACAATCAACAGGAAAAAAAAAGAATTGTTACAAATGACTTCTGAGCAGAGCACCTTGGCTATATGAGCAAAGGAACCGCAAAGAAATCCTTATATTCCCTCAGTAGTTTCTTGGTCACAGTAACACAGACATTGTAATTTCATAAACTTTTGTGTGAAATATCTTCAAACTATAAAAAAACTGCAAGAATAAGAGATGGAGAAATGATGTCCGCCAATGGGTACAGGGTTTTTTTAGGGGTTGATGAAAATATTCTAAATTTATTGTGGCAATGGTTGCGTGATTCTGTGAAGATGCTAAAACCATTGAATTGTATGCTTTCAGTGGGTGAATTGTGTGGCCTATGAATTATGTCTCCATACATTCGTAAAATAAAATAATAAGACAAAACACTCCCAAGGACTCCTCTTCGAGATCCCCTAATTTTAACATTTCACCACCTTTGCCTTCACTGGCTCTTTCTTTCTGAGCCACTTGAGTGTAGGATGCAGATATGATTTCCCTTTAATATGTTTATATAACGTGTGTATTTCCTAAAGCCAATAAGAACACTCGCCCACACAGCCAGAAAACCACCACCAAAATCAGGAGATCGATGCTGACCCAAAGCCACCGATGCAGATTCCACACTCTGGTCGTCCTTCCCAGTCACACCCTCTACTGACCCAGGGTCGCACTTTGCGTTTAGTCTCCTTCAGCCTGGCTCTTCAGTCTGTCCTTGCAACATCTTAACAGTTGTGAAGAGTACATGCCACTTGCTTTGTAGGATGCCCCTCTGTTTGAGATGTGTCCTCACAAAGAGATCTTGGTCACCATTTAGGGCAGCAGCACCACAGAAGCGGGACCGTGCACAAGCCGATGCACCCCACCGGGCACTCGCTGTTGACTGGTCTCTTCACCGGTCATACTCACTTTCACCAGTTGAAATGGTGCCTGCCAGGTTTCTCCACCGCAAAGTTAATTAGTAAGTATTTTGTGCTTTTCATTGATAAATAATTCATGTTTTTTATGGGTGAAGCTTTCAGACCATGTAAACATCCTGTTCTCTTTTATTGAATTTATCAGGGTCACGTTGGTTAATAAAATAATATAGGTTTCAGCTGTACAATCCCATGATACATCACCTGTATATTGTATTACGCATTCACCACCCCAAGTCCAGTCTCCTTCCATCGCCACTTATTTCCCCTGTACTGTCTTCTATCTCCCCCTACACACCTTTTCTTCTGGTAATCACCATACTGTTGTCTGTGTCTGTGAGCGTGTTTTGGTTTTTTTAGAAATTTTACTTTTTAAAAAGTTTTTATTTATTTATCTTTAGAAGGGAAGAGAAGGAGAGAAATATCAATGTATGGTTGCTTCTGGTGCATCCCCTGCTGGGAACTGGCCTGCAACCCAGGCATGTGCCCTGACTGGGAATCGAACCACAGTCTTTTGGTTTGCAGGCCTGTGCTCAATCCACTGAGCTACACCAGCCAGGGTAGGATTTTTTTTCCTTAATCCCCTCACCTATTTCGCCCAGGCCCTCAAACCCCTCCTCTCTGACAGCTCTCAGTCTGTTCTCTATCTATGCGTCCCTTTCTATTTTGTTTGTTTGTTAGTTTATTTTGTTCACTAGATTTCACATAGGAGTAAAATCATATGGTTCTTGTCTTTCTCTGCCTGGCTTATTTCATTTAGCATAATACTGTCCAGGTCCATCCATGTTGCCACAAGGGTAAGATTTCCTTCTTTTTATGGCTGAGTAGTATTCCATTTTTTAAATGTACCAAGCTTTTTTATCCACTCATTTACGGATGGACACTTGGACTGCTTCCAAATCTTGGTATTGTAAAAAACACTGCAATGAACACAGGGGTGCTTATATTCTTTTGAATTAGCACTTCAGGCTTCTTCAAATACTATCCTGTTGTACATATAGTTTCGCCCACTGGTCTTAGCATCTATGGATGGTTCTTGCCTATGTCAGTTGTAACTGTTGGTAGGCATTCTACTGACAGGAAAGGATTTTCCTTCTCCATTTAAAAAGTTATATCATATTAACTCATTAATTCCCATTTTATTCAGTCCATTATAATCTCTTGCCAATTATTACTTATTTTGATCCTAAAACTGTCCCATATTTAGACGGTGGGAGTCCCTCCAGACTGGCTGCTGTGTCCTTTGACTCGTCCCCATCATCCTTAGAGTACGTTCTTCATTTCTTCCATAAGAAGGTCCAGGCTCATCCTGTACTTCCCCTGCACCAGCAGGAAACCAACCATTTCTCCACATAGTTCTGTTCCCTTCTGGTGGAGAATGACGTTTGCAAAGCAGGATCTGAGAGCTGGGAGTGTTCGTTGCTATCGGAGCTTTGCTCCTGCTAGTTGTCTCGGTGGACAGGCTAAGAGACATGTTTACATACATGCACACACATAAACAAACATGCCCCCACAACACATCTATTTTATACGTGTGTAAGTATATTAGAAAGCATGGCCCCATACCCATATCTCTAATTACAGTCCAGTATCACATGGTTCCTCTTTGTCTTCTCCCTTCCTACGTTCATGTCTCTCTTCTGCAATAGTGAGAAGGGAGACCTGGTTCCCACTGCACTCAAAATCTTTACCTGTTTGCTCAATTCCCTCGTACGATGTATTATCAGCATCTCAACGGAACCGACTTTGATTTCACAGTTTCAAAACTATGCTATCTGATAGGTTCAAATATAAAACCCATGAAAATCCTTATATTTAAAATTTTTTAAATTAAGCACCATATTGAAATTGAATTGGAAATACCCCTATAAACTAATCTTCAAAAATGTATTGCACAGTTCTACCTACTACGAATGTCCTTGAAGAAATGACACCCTGTAACAACAAGCACACTGGCCCCAGATACTGCCTTCTAGAATAAACAGTATCCCTCACTAAATGGAACTTCAGGCTTCTTTGGAGCAATGCTTGATTCCAAGGCCAGGACCAAGAAAGCAAAGGTGAGCTTGGGAGGT